TTTTTTGTTTAGCTTGCTAGCTAAGTCTTCATCAATTAGCTCAACATGGTGAGTCACTGTCCTGTGTGATAAGCTAATTTTTTCAAATTTGTTCTTGCTCTCAGGACACAAAACACCTACCGTCTCTACAATGCACTCTTTGAGAAACTCCCCTTCTGAGAAAGGTTTGCTGGTCTTTGCTAATTTGAGTGCCACCAAATAACCTGCCTTCGTGTTTGAAGGCAGTGTTTTGCTGAGACTGCAAATTAGCTGCCAGCCTCTGAGCAGTAGCCGTCCGTTCTTGCGTTGACTGGTTGTTAGCATAATTAGCATGCTTGGTAGAAAAGTGACGGCTGATGTTGTATTCCTTTAAAACCACAATGGTTTCTTGGCAAATAAGACATACAGCCTTTGACTGGACTTCAGTAAAAAAAATATTTAGTTGTCTATTCCTTATTGAACACTCGGCACTCACTGTCGACTTTTCTTTTCTTTGGCCCACTCATTGTTGCAGATGGGTTCAGAGCAGTAGCAGAGTAATAACTGAGAGTAGCCCTGGCTCTGCAAAATCAAGTCAATGTATCACCGCGCCTAATGCGCCACCTGGTGGAACGCCAGGCATTACAGGACAAGGTCAAATGAATGCAGTCATAATTATGATACGACTTGATTTGGGCGATCCTGTACCAATCTTCAGCGGGCCGGATGTGGCCCGCGGGCCGTAGTTTGCCCACCCTTGCGCTAGAGCATAGTGGAGCAAGGAGAGAGAGCACTGGGTTGAGCAGAGTGGGTTGAGTTTCATGCTAGTGCTACCTTAAGTTACATACTATAGCTTTAAAGCCTGTTCAGGCTTAAAGTCTGACCTCTGACCATCCCATCAATGCCAACCAGCTGGCACAGCATTGACTCCTAGCGGCACTATATAACATAGGGTTTACACACAGTTTATACAGAATGTTACTCTGAATATTTCTCTCCATTTCACTGAGCAGCACCTTCAGCCTGCACTGTTTAGTTTGAATAAAAACTTCTCTGCCCTCCTGCAGAACCTCCCCACATGCTATAATGAGGTTGCAGTGTTTCTAAAGTCTGACTCCCTGCGCGGCAAAATAAGACCATTTCTCTACATCTTGCTGACAAGTCAGGAACCTTTGCCAAAAGACAGTCATTCAGTGTCAACGGACGCTTGCCAGACCACATTAAATGCCACATACTATCCGTGGTGTCTGGAATCTCAGTGGAGGGTGTGGGTGCTGATGGGTAGGGCCACTGTGCATTGAGCGTGGTGGGGTGGGAAGCTTATCCACAGAGCGCTTCCCTATAAGGTCGTCTCTCTCCAACGCAATGAGAGCAGATGAAAGATCCTCCCTCGTATAATGCCCCCCACATGAGCACCCATCACTACCAGCCTCCACAACTTCACAGGCAGCAGAGAACAAACCCAGAGCTTTGCTGCTCGGAGAAAAGGCCAGCATAAACTGGCAGCATACAGTGTGTGCTACTTGTGCTATATTGTGACCAGACCTTAAATCAACTAGGAAGACCTAGTGAACCTGACATGTTATTAGCTCACACTGAGTTTTAGGGGTTAGTCAGGTATTCCTTTACCTGATTTTGGCTACTGGCACCTACCCTTCCTAAAACTGGTACAGATTATAGTAAAAAAAACTTTTAAAACATTACTGATCATTCATTTCTGAATCTAAGTGAGAACGTTTGAAATGACTTGGCTAAGCCACACTGTCAGGAAGGACCAAGTATTTTATCAACCCAACAACAGCAGTCAGAGGACTACACAGGGAAGCAGACTTAACTGAAGAGACCATCACAAATAGCCAACATCAGCCTTCAGTTCTTCAGCTGCTACAAGATCAGATTTGAAAATACAAAGACACAACCAAGCATGAAATGACCCAGCTTAAATAAAAGTCTGAGAAATGCATTATACAGAAGGTTTCAGTGGGCACGCAACTGTGACGCAGAAGAGTGATGAGGTGTGAGTAGGAGGCAGTGTTCAAAGCCGGAGCAGCACTGTCACAGAGAGCAGCACAGATTGACTGCAAGCTATTCTTCTCATGACTAAAGCAGCCGTGTCCTGTACCTCAGCTCAGCAGCCAGCTGGACAGCATCAGCATCACCACACGCCTCCTTTGCATCACAGGGATCACTTTCAAATTCATAAAAATGGATCCTGGCAGGAACCACTGTAAAAGATATTTGAAGGATGTGGTAGGTGAGCTGAGGTGTCTCTGTGGACTACAGGATAAAGAGTCCAGTTGAGCTGCATCTTTGAGTAAGGCTCTAGATGCTGACAGCAAAGCCTCCAGCTCCCTTTATCAAGTGTTTGTAATAACTAGGTCTCAAACATGCATGAGGAGAGTGCATCTGATTCACAAGTCTCTAATTAAACCTGAGACAAACAGACTCTTTACGCTCTGCTTCTTTTGGAACTTACAGTATAATCAAAAGTCATGATTAGCACTTTCAACCAAAAACTAATTATATGCAGTACACAAAAATCAAAACTAGAAAAGCAGTAGATTTGAAATTCCTGTACAATACTGCTTCATTTGTCCTCATCAAGGTTACTGAGAGTCCCGCTGAACACTCTCTCACATCACATAGTGTACTGTAGCAATGCTCCCCTGAGCAGAAGGGGAGGGGCACCGAGTTGGGGGTGGGGGGGACCCAGACACCTGTCATCTTCATGACTGTCACTGCCTCTATAAATACTGCATTCCATAATGTACATGGCCCATGACAGCTAAAACTAAAACCTACCACTATACACAGAAAAACAGTGCCTCACTTCAGTGGCTTAGAGTTAAACA